TCTGCAGCTGCATTTTCAAGTCAGACTAAAGACATTTTGTCCACATGCAAAATGTCTTTCTGTCTTAAAATTAATAAGTGTATAATTTAGCCTAATTTTCACAGACTTCTCCATAGCAGCCTTATCCCCAGATGATGGGAGCCTTGCTGAAATAACAGTATTTGTGTAAATTTTACCAAATTTGTGTAAAATTGCTAAATAAACATTTCCATTTACTGCTTCTTAACAACACAGATTCATTAATATATATAAACATTGAAAGAAGAGACCCATTCAGTTTATAGAAGATTATGTGTGTTTAGGCATTTAAATATCTTTGCATAACAAATCTGAGATAAAGCACCATGGGGAGAAAGATGAAAAGCACTGAGTGTCTTAACAGACTTTTGTGCCACCTGCTCCTTCATTGCTGTATGTGGTTATGTAGTTTGATTTATTGGGAAAATTATTTGCCTAATATTTATTTTTATTTTGAAAATGATAGGAAATACTTCCTCTAAGAATTCTGAGTACCTCTTATATATACAAAGTATAAATTCATTATATAAGCATTACATTTTTTATTGCTGTAAATTGCCATTACAATACCTTCAGTTCCTCCTACATTCACAACTATGAGAAGAATACTGATTTCCAATCCCCAAATATAAACCCTCCTTCATCAATTCAATAATGGAACAAAGCATGGCCTTTCCCTGACCTGAATTCCTGTGCATCCCACTCCCTCCAACTGCTTCCAGCAAAAGGGTGCAGTATTTATGTCTGTGAGTGTGTATCAATATGTGAAGATTGTCCTTGAGTTTGTAGTCCTTTCCTGGTCTTTGCAGACACAACCAGCACAGGTACCAAGCAATGCCTGTTCTCACAGCACGTTTGATGATTTTGAGGTCTGTAACCTGCTGTCTCAGAATGTAAAAATTGCCTGGGGGAGACTACAAAGTGGCATCACTGGGAATAAAAATGAAATATTGAGTTTTCTGCACAAGTCTGAATGCATTTCACAACCCATGCATGATGGAGAGGTGAAATCTTGCTCCTTTGAAGAAGAAACATGGGGGTTGATGATGCCAACAGGGCAAACGTTTAGGCCCCACTGAACTGCAGGTAATGGTAGTCCAATGTTTTTCTGAGGACAAACATGAGTCTTGTAGGTCATACAGTGGTGGTGGAATAAAGAATAAGGTACAAGTCTCCAATACATTTTATGGGGACTGAAATAGGGAGGTTGGTAGAACTCCATGAAGTAATGGATCTCTATCTCTTCAAAATTACATCCTGATTCTCTAAAAATTATATATACATACATTTAGTTTGAGTCAGAAAAATAACCATGGTTGTTCACAGAGAGAAAAACTGTTATTGTTGCCAATATGAATTGAGCATGTACTAGAAGTAATTTGTAATGGAAACTCTACATTTGCTCCTGGAAGAGCCTAAATTTCGTTTTCAGGCCAATTCTTCTAAGTGAGATAAGCCTCCTTTGAAGGCAACTCAGATCAGAACTGATGGGAGCAGAATACCTTAAATCTTCTGGAAATATTATCTTATATCTGGGGTCATCTCAGATGTCTAGTGGTCTTTGAAAACTGAGCTCTGAGCTCCTGTTCTTTCTGCTTTTATTTGTTCCTTCAAAATGTCTGGTTTTATGGGTAGGATTAAGTCACAGCATTTGAGAGAGCCTAAAGATTTATGAACAGCTATGAAAAAGTTATGGGCCACGGTGTTCTTGAATTGGGGGAAGGCTACATTAGATGTTTCTACTTTTGTGCTTGTGATCACGTGCAAGTTCATTCAGAAGGCCACAAATGAGAGTGTCAGTTTATAAGTCACCAGGCTGTGCAGTCAATTAATTGCTGATTAACTTCCACTGGCTGCCAAACAGAGTCTGGAAGCTGAAGATAAAAAAATTGAAAGTCACTTTTGCTGATTTTCCCATACTAAGAATTTATGTTGTGGTAGCAAACTGCAGAGCACTAAATCTCAAATATACCACTGTTTGAAGAATTATTGATAATTGTTGAGTATGCTTAGCACCCAGCAAAAAAATAACACAGATATTGTCACCTGCAGATGACACAAAGCCAAGAAGCCTAAGTGGTGCAAATAAAAAAACCCTAAAGCACCATTTTCAGTGAGGACCATGAGTAGGATATCCACTGTCTCCTGGAGGACTTCATCCAGAGGCTACTTTGTCTTGCACGTGGGAGATTCTTAGCAAAAGTAACCAGAGTATTTAAATCACTTTTAAATCACTTTCTTGACAGTGGGAAAAAAAGAGACAACACAGCAGCACAGTGACTGAAGGGCCAATAACCTTCATTTTAAAGGAGGGTGTTGTGTAAATTAAAAAAGGTTGCTGTGTGTAGTCTCTCAGTTTAAGGTGAGCACCGTGCCAGAGCAGCAGTCTCAGTCTGTGGTTACAGAGAGGGGAAGGTGCTGATGGGCTTTGCCACCACCCACCCTGCGTGACCTCAGTGGCATCTGCGAGGAAACAGAGAGCTGGGACACGTTTGGTCAGGGAGGGAAACACAAGGTTGACTCAAGAGGCAAAACAGTGTAAACACTGAATATGAAGGGAAAAATGTGCAGCAAAACTCACATCCTAAGAACTTCAGTCCTAAGTGTGTTTGTTTATCCCACCAGGCAAACCTGGCTGTGCAGCAAAGCAAGTCAAAGAAAGCCTCTTTTATTGTTTCCATGATGCTTACTCATCTAAAAGCCATTCCCCTTTTAGATTATTCTTTTTTTAAAGCATAATTCCCATCTGTTCTTTGATCTTATACCACATAAGACATTTAGCTAATAACATCATCCATCAAATACCAACTTTCCTTTAGAGTTCAAACACAATCGACACAGAACCCAGTCCATCTGTTGGCCAGTGCCTCTGAACAGATCCAGCTTGTGAATGGCCAGCTATGTTGCCTAATTTTTAATCAACCAACTTAGGTCTGTGCTTCCCATAATCCTGCAGGATAGCTAGGGGACACTCCACAGGGAAGTGAAACACCCTCCTCTCTGGAGAGGAGGGTTGGTGCATCCAGAGCTGTGATGTGCTTGTTCTAATTGGGGTTTTCCAGTGAATGGAGACTGCCTTCAGCCTCTCAGAGAAATGAATTTATTTATTTATGTATTTATTTATGTATTTATTTATATAAAATATTTTAAGGATAACTTCTTTGAAACTTGGCCTTCTTCAGAGAAAAATGTGTAAAGTAGAAAGACAATGCTTTCTTCTCTGAGTAAAATTCTGGCTTTATTTGACAGATACTTCAGAATTTCAGGGCAGGTTGTCTGAAGCAAGGGAATTGCAGATTTACAGACAAGTATTTATACAGAAAATGCTCACCTGCTTACCCAACAGGAGAGCCAGGGAATGTCAGATGATTTGGTTGACCAATTGTAATAAAGCAGCACAGCTTGAATTAAGGATATCTGGCATCAATCACAGTTAAAAAAAGCCTAAGAAAAACTGGTCAGAAAAAAAAAGGAGATTAATGAGTAATCCAGGGAGCAGGTAGTTCTTCTATGGATATTTTCCAAGTGCAAACAGTTATCAAATTCTTTAAATCATTACTGTCAGATTCTTCACTTAGCTCCATTACCTTGCTTCTCAGTGGTTTGCTTTATCTTGCACATGGTGCATTTGTTTAGGAAGGAATTCAATTCAGGATTTATATTCCACTGGTTTACACATGCCACAGCCTCCTTATCTCCAGATATGAAACAATAACAGCAATTTAAAAAGCACCTACATTTCCTTCTATTTCCTGGCTTGCCAATAATAAGAAGTCCCTGCAGAGGGAAGCTTGGCTGGTGGTGTTTTTTGATTTCTCAGATAACAAGAGCTTCACATTTCTGTGGAATTCCCATTTGCCAGAGAGCTGCTGCTGCTGTTGCCCTGATTGATATATGACTGCAATGGCACTTTTCCATTTGACATTCCCCCTCTCTCCCTCTCTCTCTTAGACAACAGCCCTAACTTTTGTGTGTTGCAAATATAAAAGGCAAGCCATGTGATGGAGGCACAGAAGAACAAAAGCATTTGGAAGTAACAGGACCTCTCCTGGCTCTCCGAGGAGTTTGAGGGAAGGAAGGAGTGGTGCATTTTTCCAAAGGTAAGCATGCAAATAAGAGATTCCTACAGATTTTGAGTATTACACGAACTTAAATTGAGTGCTTAATCTCTTTATCTGACAGAGACACTTTCTCCTTGTACCGTTTGTTAAATTAAACTGTGTTTAAATGGAATCAACACAGCTCTAGTCCGTGTGTCTCCTTATCCCTGTGTCCTGCTGCCTGAAGTTTGCCTGTCTGAGGTCGGATAGGTAGCAGCTTGGTTAAACCCCTATTCTTGTGAGCACAGAGCTCCAGTCTGCAGCTGTGTGCTGGCCATAGCTGCGTGGCTTTGGAGTGAATGGAGCTGCTGGGCTCTGCCCGGAATTCACCGGGAGAGCTCTGCTATGGCCAGCACCCTCTTTGTCCCACTGCAATAGGGCTCTGTGAACACGGGCAAGCCTGCTTCTTTAAAGTTGGACTGTTTACTTTTATCACTACTTACGCCTGCTGTTCTCTTGCCAGTCATCTGCTGGAGTGCTCAGAATAATTTGAAACAACAGGCAATATTTATTTCTAGCTTTGTGTCTCACGCTTCGCGGGAGCACTCATAATTAGCACATTATTATTTATCCAAACTTCCGCAAGGCTTTCCAATGGACCGGACAGCGCTGGTTGTGGATTAGGACAGATTTAACATACACTGTTTATTGGCTGAGAGCTGTGAGGAAAGCCCCGCTGCCCGGCGAGGTTTGGTAGGTGGCCGGCGTGGCTCCGAGCCCGGAGGATGCTGCGCGACCCCAGCCCGCCCGCTGGAGCACAGAGGGAGGCTCTCGGCTCTCCTCCGCTCCCGGCAGATCATTTCCCTGTGTGTCAGCGCCAGAGGCACGAGCAGGACTGCTCGCTGTTTCTCTGGGACGAAAGGAGGATTCCGCTGCTGTGAGCCCGGGGACCAAGTGTCAGAGCACTGCGGGGCTCGGAGCCGGCACTGCCCCGGGAGAGCGCGGCGGAGGCAGAGCCCCGGCTCCCTGCCGGGATTCAGGTGAGTGGATTCATCCTATGAAAGTTCAAGTGAACGGGTCCGGCAGCAAAGAACAGAGTAGCAAAGACCAATCTCAGGACCGGGTTAGCCACTGCTGCGGTGTCACCCACAGTGTGGGCTGGAGGGGCGATTTTCTTGTGACAAATCTGGATTTGCAGGATTGGGTGTCTGTGTGTGTGTGTGTGTGTGTGTCTGTGTGCCCTGACTCTGGTGGCACTGCCAGGCAGATTTCTTATCCTACCCTGCAAGTTCACTGAAATTTCTCTCATAGCTTCCCCATGACAGACCTTATTTGTTTCTGCCTGGAGAGATGGCATGGCAAGTAACTCCTTAAGGTTTCTGCAGCTCTTTAGAGATGAAAAACATATTTCCTATATGCTATGTGTTACTTACAGTTCCTAAAGCTTTATAACCAGGCAGGAACTCTGCCTGTTGAAAAGGGACTGGCAAAAGGTTTTTTAAAACCAGTAATAGGACAAGCTCACTTGAAGGCAAATGATTATTTAAAACCATCAGTGGGGACTAACTCACTTGAAATCCATACTTTATTGCAAAGTAATTTTCTAATAGAACCAACCCAGCTGCCTGGTGTGGCAATAAGTGTGGCTGTAATAATCACAGTGCTGTTATTTGTTCCTTCTTAAAAGGATATAAGAATATCTACATTTTAGGCCCTGTAATTATTTTTTTTTCCTTCCTTTTGAATTACTAATAATGCTTACTTTTGCTCTTGCTGTGGGACCTTACTCATATTTGTGAGTAGTTATACACAAGAATAATTTCCTGGACCTAAACAGAACTATTTGGTGAGTAATTACATACCAGCTTGAATCAGGGGTTCCCTATGTGACTTATATATACATTCATAGGCTCTTGCTGTTAATGAAATCTTATTTTGTATTATAAAACAGTGCTTTAAGACTTTCCAGTTAAAAACAAATGTGTAAGGAAAAGGTATTTCAAGCTTAAAAAGTAGAATGCAATTTGATTTAGGGATGGGGTATAATTAGGGACTGCTGATGATTAATTACAGTCTCATTTCTCTACCTGAAGGTGTCCCATGTAGGTTTGCTGGGTTTGTGCAGTGCCTGGTTTGGATCAGATTAATGTGTGCTGATGACTGGCCTTTGCAGAGCAGGATGTTTGTTATGGACAGTCTTGGGTACAGTTTGCAGTAGCAGTACTCCAGGTAGCTCCTTAGGCATGGCTGATTTCCACAAAAGCCATCTGCCCCACTGGAACCATCCCTCACTCACCTCTGAGGCTTATGGTATCACTGCAGTCTCTCTTGCCCAGGTGGGAGGGGAATGAGCCAGCTCCTTGGGAGCTCACACTGGTGCCTGCTGTGACTCATTTGACAGGGAGTCCACCTGTGGTTGGCTTCATTCCCCATTTCTCCTGGGGCTGACTTTGTTCCCTCCCTTGTCTGCTGTCAGATGCACTAGGAAGTGCTCAAGGTTGTCCTTGGAAGTTGGAGAGAATTTACTATCTATGGCAAAAACTTGCATGAAACCACTGAGACATTAATTTTTGCAACTTGTCTGGTGGATTATTTAACTGAAAGAAAACAAAATCGTCTCTTTCCCCCTCCCCACCTCCCAATCACCATTGTAATTATAAATATTTGATAGCTGCATTAGAAGTATTACAAATTTCTCTGTCTCATACTCCTGACTATGAGGAAAGACTTGTTCCTGTGAGTTTTAGGAAGGTTTTGCTACATGAGACTGTATCCCCCTGTTATTTGAGCAATCCCTCTCTGGAGGCGGCCACATCAAAGAAAGACACAAAGATCCTGTGGCAGCAGATATGGGGTAACTTTCTGGGGCAAAGGATTTTTCCTTAACCCCATCCACTGAACTCTCAGAGTCCTGAGGGTTTATAACCCTTCCAAAAACTCTTCAGAAATGAAACCCTGTGACTGTAACCCCCCCATACACAACAGGTCCTTTCGCTGAGCCCAGCTAAACTTTTGCCCTCGGTGATATCTTGTTCCCCTGGATCATTGTCGGTTGTGTAAACACATGTTTCTTTTCATCAGTGTTAAGTGTTCTGCCTTTCAGCTCTCCTGCCTTTCTCCATGTCAGGATGGGGTGAATAGCCACATCCAGATCACCTTTTTTTACTACTGCCTGACTTCACACTTGACAGTCCTTTTGCTGAAACTCAGCTCAAAGGCAGGAAAAGGGTTGGGTCAGGTTAGCTCAGGTGTCTGAGCCAAGAGCACCCCACTTTGACCACACTTCTGTGCATGCACATGAAGAGATATTGCAGTCTCTGCTGGCTGTGATCAGCTGTTATTTCCTTTTTATATGTGTCAGTGTGGAACATATTAAAATTTCTCAGTAGTGGTATGTTAGGAATCCCTCTGATGCCCCACCTCTAACTTAGCAGAACAATAAAAGCAAGGTTGAAGTAAGCCTTTGAGCAGCTGGTTGTCTATATATTCCTCCTTTTCTCACATAATCTAATTCAAACTATTATCTGGTAGCAGTGGCACTACCACTTCCAGACACCATCAGTCCTTGTCCTGTTTGCTGGAATTTCATTGTGTGGCATGGAGATCCTTTCTACTACAGGCCAGTGTAGCCTTTCTTCTGGTGTGAGAGTAGGGGGCTGCTGGTGCCATGGAGACACTGGTCCCAGGAATTCCTCCTCCTCATTGCTATTTTTCAGCTTCTCTTTGTTATTTTTTCTAGTTGCATCAATCATTTTTACGGCTCACGCTTGTCACATTTTCATGCTTGTTATTACTGAGCTGCAGACTGTGTCGGGCTGAGGCAGCACAGGTTACATTGCCCTTTAAGACATGTGGGTTGAGGATCTGAGTTAATGCCTCAGCTCTGGTTTGGCAAAGGTTAAGCATACCATGGCAGTGACAATCACATTGCTGTCATAGCAGCACGGCTCAAAGGGAGTGGGACCTAGGGGAACGCTGCTCCCCTTGTTAGAAGACATAGAATTGTTACCATGAGCCAAATATTTCGGTTCCCTAATTATCAGAGGATGAGGTATATGGATGGTGGTCTGAATGTTGCCTGTGTATAAAAGAGGAAAGGATTTTGCCCCTGGGGTCAGAAGAAAGGGAACATCCCCTTCAATCACGTGCTGTCTCCAGCATGCATAGCACTCTCTGCTGGTCCCAGTGGCAGGGATGTTTGCTCAGTGTTAAAGAATAAAAAGACCCATTCCTGCTCTTGCATCTATTGATAACTACAGGCCTTTGAGTTTGCTGGAAAATATATGAAAGACAGAGAACAAAAACTGTCCACCTGCTTGTAAAACACTCCAAGAGGTAGAGGACACATGCCTGAATGCCCTAGACCTCTCAGCAACTTGTAATTTGGCCAAGGGTAATTTTGCCTCATGTTGGGTCATAAGACTGAAGTAGAGGAAATTACTGAAGCAAATCCTATAGCTAAAGCTTGGCTGGGAACACTTGCACTGTAGCCAGCAGCCACCCTGGTTTGCCTCCTGAGAGGGATGGGCAGCCCTAGACTGCTCAGCTCTGCACCTGGTGCTTCACCAAGGAGCAATCTCACCCAGCATCCCTTTCCCTCAAGAGGAAAATTGTATTCCTCTGCTGTCCGAGACTCAAGACCATGACTACTCTGATATTCAGCAAGAAACAAGAATAAAGAAAGAATCGAAGGTTGGCATCACCTCACCATTAAAAGGCTCTACTCCCTCATTAGAGAGATATCCCATGAATGCCCCTAATCAATCTATTTAAAGCTTCCTGGAAGCAGGAAAAGGAAAGAATAAAAATACAAGCACTCTTTTGTCTCCCAGTAGTTATTCTTTGCGAGTGTATTAAACCCTTTGCTCCGTGCTGGCCCGTGCCTGTCTGCTGGCCGGGTGCCAGCCCGCAGTACCCACTGGAGTTTGTTATTTCAACTGCTGAGCAGGAAGGCACCTCCTGCTCCCCCTCTCCTGCTACCTGAAGGGCTGGAAATATTCTTGGGAACTTCAGAAGCGGAGGGAAGTTCAGACAGCTCAAGTGCCATTCAGCTGGATTTGTTCCACCTCATGCACCGGGTCCCTGCGGCAGGAACACTTTTGGGGCCTTAAACAAGCCCAGGGAATCAGCGCCATGCGTGCTCATCCCACGTGTGCTGAGGCTCCCAGGGTGCTTCCACTGTGTTTGCTGCAATTGCTATGCTGCTTCTTATGCTTCACATGCTGTGGTTTTCCTACTTTTTTCTTTTTCATTCTGCTTACAGTGACAGGTATTCATCTCCAGAAATATTAAAAGACTTAAGGAAGTCTCACAGTGAAAAAATGGTTTCCTGGTGCTTCTCTTAGCACTGCCTTAGTAGGACCAGAAGATGGACTTCTCTACCATGAACAACCAGATGTAGAGGCTTAAATTCCCTTCTTTTGAGCCCATTTTCCTTCTTATTGCCTTTTTCCTTCCCCTCTCCTCTTGCCCACCAGCTGCTGCCAGCTCTGGCCAGGAGTGTGTGTTGTTTGTATACCCTCCTTGCAGGCACAGACTGCCCTGCTGTGTAAGGGAGCTCCTGGACCATGGATGAAGACATTCCCCTTGCCATGGAAGAGGAGAAGCTCCAGCACAGCTGGATGGCAGCTTGAGCAAACTCTCTCAAGCACAACAAGACCTTGGGGGAACATTCACTTATTTAGCCCTGTAAGGGTCTCACTCAAAATATTTGGTTTGGTATTTGCCTTGCCTCAGGATGGGAAGGAACCTGTTCAAATGTTGTGTGGAGGCATTTCTCAGACAACTGGGGTTGCCTGTGTTCACCTGCTGCTGCCCGGCTGCCATGGGGCCACTCAGTGGCTCTGTCAGGTGTTTTGACAGGCAGCTGCAGAGTGAAGTGAGGATTTTTGACAGCACACACAGAAGGTCAGCTCCTTCACTGCTGGCACAGAAATGGCCATGGTAAAATAGATAAGAAGATGACTGCATTTATTTACAGAGCTAAAAGATACGCTGGAACTGACAAAGACTCTGAGGTGGTTCTACAGAAAGCAGGGCCAGACACAGCCTCTCATCTGGGCTTGCCTCTCCTACTCCATGAGCTGTTCTCTGGCATGGCTCAGATTGTCACTGGTGAGATTCAGTCCCACAGCTCTTGGGCTTCCCAAGCTGTTCCCAGGCATGGTGTGGATGGCTGCATGGGCTGGAAACCACCAACTGCTGTGGGTGCTGAAGGATCTTTGGGAACAGAACATGCTGCCTTTGTCATGGCAGTGGAGAACTTAACCCTGCAGAAAAAACCCTTGTGGAGTCTGACTGAATAATTTGCCCGTCACAGTTGTTTCCACTCCAATCCAGATCTTGGAGAGTGAAATCCTCAAATCCTTATCTTCCTGGAAAATCAAAACTTTTTTGAACTTGATAAAGTTCTTGAGAAATCCATTTTCGACCCATGAAGAACATCGTGGCTTTTTTTTTTTTTTTCAGAACAGCAGCAGTGAGTTGATACACATGCACATATATATACACATACATGGTTGGTGACACGTTTTTAGGTCTGGAGTTTGGAGAAACTGAGTAGTCTTGCAACTCTTGTGTTTACATAACAAATTCAGATTGAGGGAACCACACGGTAGGATTCAAGTAACTGTGTTTACTAAATACGCACAGCATGCAAGGCCAGGCTTAAGTTATATACACACAGCACTGCTTCAACGGGATTTTGGCAGCCTCCAAAACACAAAAAGCATTGAGTGACTTAAAGGGTGCCCTCATCTTCAGGCAGGAGTCTCAAACACAGAAAATGCCCAGCAAATGAAGGCCAAGCTGAACATATGTGCATGCCTAATATGGGGGGCTCAGGGAACAACTACCTAGAGGAACACCATAAAAGAGCTTTTCCACTGCTCCCTTCCTACCTCCCAGGGTAAAAGCTGTGCAGATCCAATAGACCTTTGGAGAATTGCTCAGCTCTTTATTTTTTCCAAGATACATAGCAAAAAGGGAATTTCTGTTTATGTTCTCACAAAGTGACTGGCTAAATAATTCCAGATGATGGAATGTTCTTCTGTCCTTAAAGCAAAACAAAACCTTAGCCTTCACCACTCTCTAAATGATATTAAAACTATGATAAGAAATCTTTATTATTCAGAAAGCAGTTAATAAGAACGTGGAGTTGGAAAAATAACCCTAACTTTGCACTTATATACAATATGTTCTGAGACTGTATGTTAATATGTTTTTTCTTTGGGATGTCTTCTATTTTTCGCTGAAGTTTTTAGGTTAACAGCTGTAGCAGTTTTAGGTAACAGCTGTGACAAGCTTTAGTATGTTATGTCTCTATGAAATCCTGAAAACTGGTTATATGGAAAGGAAACTAAGCCATTGCTAAGAAAATGTACCTCCCACATCTCAGTGAATTCTGAAAAAAATGTGTAGTGATTTTCATCCACTGTTAGGCCATTTATTTTTGTAGCAAATTTTCAGCCTGAGGATATGAGGTCATGTTTGCATCTTTTTCTTTACAGGATGCTGCAAAGAGGGAGGGTTTAGGCTTCCTTTGTGTTAGCCTGGCAGATGAGCTATCTACCACAGTTTTTGCATGAAAAGGAAGTGAAGAAAAAACAGCTGAAATGAAAGGAAAAAATTTCTCTGTGAAATTGTTATTTTAATAAAAAAGTGCATTTTCCAAATGAAACAAAATGTCATTGTAATGATGATTTATGATTGCAATTGTACTTGCTTCTCTTTTTTTGGACAGAAGTATAGACTGGAAACTACTTATGCCAAACCTGAGAGCATGTGCTATCTAGGATTTTATAATTTCTGACAGCATTTCAAAAGGAATGCAATTTTTTACTTAAAAAATAAAAAATAATGCTAAGTTCAAGTGAAATGCCACTGCTGGAAATACCAGCTGGAAATGGAAAATATCATGCCAACATACCTCATCATTGTGATGTACCTAAGTGAAAATATTTTGATTTTTTTTTGCAGAATCAAAAATCTATACCCTAACTTCCATGTGCTTAAATTTCCCTCTAAGTCTTTTTCTTCCATATTATGTTATATATAGCATATGTGCTTGAATATATATGTGCATGCTTCCCATAGGTACATCAGAAGATACACCTACACATTTTACCGGTATGCCTATAAACAACTGTAAGCACTTATTTCACAAGAGATGGATCATATTTACAATGGTTTTCTTTTTTTTTTTTTTTTCTTATAAATATGTGATACATTTCATTTTTTCAAAGTACTGTTACAAAAACCTGCTGGATTTCTTTGTTAGTGAAGTATCAGGACAATTTTAAAAGGTTGTGGAAGTGTTAATACTTTTTCTACTGTGCTTATCCTGAAGACAGTTCAGCCATGTTCCTTTTCTCACACTTTTCCCTGTGTCTTTCTCAAACTATTTTCATGAGGCAGACTCTGTGTCATCCAATTATTTCCTGAAGAAAACTAGGGAGATAAGCCTTTGAAAACTGAGCCAGGACTTCAGATTTCTCTCACTGTATTAAATCATACTGATCAAAACCATGGAAAGATATAGAAGCACAGAATTAACAGTGGGATGGAGAGTATGGGAAATGGGGATCCCTGGGTGTAATATCACGTGAAATGAGACTGTCTAATATCAAGTAAATTTATTTGGACTGAGAGGGAATTACTGGGTGTGTAATAATGATTAACTATGTTGGAGGGAGACCTTGCCAAGCAGCATGTTTTGGTCAGACTCTTTATAAAAAAGAATAGGAATGTAGGTAAAAGGTTAAACATGGAGAAAAAAATAGTGCATCCCTCCTCCTGTTAGCTAATCCTTGGGCATCATCTGCATGAACTGGAGTAGCACAGTTCACTTTGGGGAGGGAGTCTGTCCCAGCTCCCATGACCGAGAGATTTCTCTCCTATGCTGCTAAAATGTTTGGAGGGATATTTATTGACATGAATGAGGCTGTGCATAAATGTATCTGACATCCTAAGTGTTTAGTGTTGTTTGTTTAAGTTCTTTATACTGCAAAGACATAGTATGTTTTTAATGCCCCATTTGCTGAGGAAAATATACCAGGTCATATGTCGGACTCTGGGGAAAAAAAAAGATATTGTCATTTAAATCCACAGTCACGTAATTTTTCCTTTCCTACTTAAGCACATGGATAACAGCCTGAAACAACAACAACAAAAATGTCTAATACACAGAGCATCTTTGTTTCTCTAACACACAGAGCATCCCTATTAACATTTGTTCCCAGCATGAGACTTCGGGTGTCACATCAGCGCCATCCCAACTTGGATGAACTCTGGAAGCGTTTGTCACGGCTAGGCACTCCTCTCACAGAAGTGCTGGAGGAGGCTAGAAACCAACACACAAATCATCAAGCACTCTGGTGAGGAGGCTGTTTGGGAGATGAGTATCAGCAGGCTTAAAGCACTGCCAGCAAACCAGAAAACAGTTTTGAAAGAGGCTTGTATAAGGCAGTAAAGGCACACATCAGCTCTTTAAATACTCAAGAGGCTCTGCTGGAGCATTTCTTTGTGAGTAGGGAACTGTTTTATCTTAAGTTTCTTCAGAAAGTCCTTGCACTTTTAACCGTACTGATGAGTATCCTTTGACTATCCTTCATCGGGCTGTGTTTAGATGGATAATTCACAGCTCTTTCAAGTTATATCTGTTTGTAGTAAAAGTGAAATTAATCATCCAGTTGGGACTAAGGGCTTTGTGAGAAGGATCAAGGGACTGTGAAGAAGCAGCTGATGGAGATATTCTCCTTCCCCTGCTGGCACAAAGCTCTGGGCAGCATTTCAGGGGTTGTCCTGAACTTGTTTCCTGGGGAATCTCCTGATCTCCAACATGAACCAGAAATCCAGATGCCAGGGTAGATAGCCATATGGCTCCACCTGAACATATTTCTTCCCAAGTGATAGCTGGGATAGTACTTGGATATTATGGAACAATAAATGTATTTTTCAGATGCTGCTCCTTAATTAGCTGGGAAGAGACAGACACCGAGAAAGTGCTGCCTGACAAGTAAGCAAACAAAGCCTGTCGATGTGTGTGCATGGGAATTTGGAACTCAGAGGGCAGGGCATCCAGAGGCCCGGGCAGCTCCTCATGCAGTGCAGGTCAGGGCTCAGCAATTCCCTGGGGGACCACCTTGCTCATGCCTGGGCTGGGACCTTCAGCATCCCTCCACCCTGGGGGTGTCTCCTGTCCCTGCAGAACACCAGCTCCAGGGTACTGCCAGGCAGCCTCCAGAGCCACAGCTCAACCTGCCTCCAGCCTTTCCATGGGCTCCCTAGGACCTTCCCATCTGAAACGAGGAAGGCAGCCAAGCTTTGCCTCTCCTTGCCACTTTGAGTGGATACAGAGTCCTTCCAATTTTCGGAAGTTTCTGATGTATTACTGATCACCGGTTTTGAGGGGAACACAATAGGATCGTCACCAAGTGGAAAAGAATGGCATTGCATCACTTGTGATGTTAAAAGCCGAAAGGTTCTCCCTGAAATGATAGAAAAATGCCAAAAGTAACAAGGCCTTGAGATCTCCTTCCTTAAGGCCATATTCCCTACCTACTGTGCGAATGATGCTCACTCTGAGCAGTATTTTGGCTAGCAAAGGTCCTAAGTGCCTTAATATTATTTCTGTCTATTTTCTCCAGAGGTCTTTTTGCTCAGGATTGTGATTTATGTTGCTTTTATTCCAGCTGTGCAGGAGATTCTTTGATGGATTAAAACCTCGTCAGACTCCAACTTGAGAAGCAGAATGACAGCTCAGACACTTAAACCACACTTTTCACCATCCTGGAAAAGAACTGGCTTTCAGAATTTGGAGGGTTTTTAATGCTCTACCTCCCTCTGCTGTTACCAGCGAGAAGTTCCTCGACAATGGGAAATCATGTACTCGCTGCTTCGATTTCCATGCTCTCGCTTCTGGTGATGATGGGAGACACGGACAGTAAAACAGACGGGTCCTTCCTCATCGACTCCGACCCCAGCCGCTGTATGAGGCACCACTACGTGGACTCCATCAGCCACCCTCTCTACAAGTGCAGCTCCAAGGTAAGGCCTCGGTGCTGTGAGGGAAGAGTTGTTAAAATGAGCCATTCTGGGTGGTTTTCTCTGCTAGAGTTCCTATCTACCAGAATCCAGCAGCAGGGACACGCAGATGTGAAGGCATCGTGTGTGTACGCAACTGGGACTGGAGATAAAGGCTCTTGACTCGCTTTTCACCTTTTCAAAAGGAGAAATTCACCATGATAGTAAAGCTTACATGCAGTAAATCACAAGATTCAAAGGAGTACATTTGGGATCTCAGCTGATGGTCCAAGGGGACAGGCTAGTTTGGAAGTTTAGATCACCCTGGTAACCTCATCCTTCAAGTGAACTTTCATCTGGAGCAAGTTCATTGCTACTGCAGATGAAATACTGAGATAAAGAACCAAATTGTAAAATGGTGATTAAAAAAGGTTGTGAAGAGCATTGCTTATTTTCTCCCTGCCGACCCCCTTTTCAAAACCTTTGTTTTCATGCGGAATGACACTTGGATGATAACTTTAGGGCTTAGGAGCAGACAGAAATACAAAATTGACTTTCGTTTGGGATTTCAAGCCTGAAAAGTTTTGTGTCAAAATGGTTTAGCAGCCTGTACATGTAGCCTACAGCAATTTATTTCATTGTGTGGAGAAAAAGAATTGGGAGAAACAGTGGGAAAATCCTTGCTGGCCCCTTTTGTCTTGTCCTAATTTGTTCTGTCTGAGTTAACACAGTCTGTACATTCAGATGGCTGGGCCGTTCCTCTGTCCCATGGGAAGGGGCTTTGCCTCAGGCACTCGCATCCCAGGATTAAGGAAAGGGAACGACTGCCAGCTTCAGTGCTTTTGCCAGCCCTGTGTTGAGTAAGGGATGAGAGGCCGGTGTGTGACAGGGTTTATCACAAGAGGGGTGCCTGCTGGTGGCAAACCCCAGCAGCAGGGATCCTGGGAGAGAGGATCCAGAGTTGAGATGGATGCAGTGCTGGCTGTGGACACCCTCAGATGCCTTCGTGTGCAGGAATTCCTTGCCTCCTGTAAATCAGTGCAGGGGTGAGGGGAAGTTGCAGATCATAAAAACTAAAATAAAGCGTAGAGAGAAGTGTCCACAGAAAATAAGACTTGCTGGGCTCTCTGTGCACCAGGACAGCTGCTGCCCTGGCTAAGGCTCTGCAGCCAGGCTCATCCTGTGCCCGCTCAGCAGAGAGGAGCTGGCAGCCTCAGAACTGGGCACAGGGAGCCTGCTCTGCTCTGGGCTCCTTGTGCTGTTCTCTCAGCACTGCTGTCTGCCTGGTTTAGCATAACTGAGCCTGATTCACAGCAGTGGGAGCCCAGAGACTTTTACCCTACTTCTTCTGAAACCAAACAGTAAAATCATGCTTTACTTGAGATTCAGGAGAGGTCTTTTGATTTGCTTTCAGGCTGGACTAGAGCTCCCTGCCATCTGGGGGACATATGGTGCTAACACAGAGAACTGCAGAGGTGCATCTCTGTACAATATTGGTTTTATTGAACTTGACTTCAGCAAGAGGCAAAAGTGACAAAAAGTAGGTGTGTGGGTGGTTTTCATTTATAGGGATCTGTGTGCCACAAGTCCTCCTCCCCTCTCTGCAGTTTTAGGAAGGAGGGAAGGAAGGAGAGAAGGAGGGAGGGAGGGAGGGAGGGAGGGAGGAAGTGGCGGAAGGAAGTGGCGGAAGTGGCGGAAGTGGCGGAAGTGGCGGAAGGAAGGAAGGAAGGAAGGAAGGAAGGAAGGAAGGAAGGA